TCGAGAATGGGTGGCTTCATGCTTCACACGAACGAAAGCTGCCACCAAGTGAACCAAGCGTTCCAGACTCCCCAATTTTCCGCACTGACCCGGTCAAACTGTCCAAGTCCAAGAAAAAAACAACATCCCATCATCTTAGAATCTTGACTCTGTCGGAAACAAGCCCACTCCACAGCAACAACTTGACAACCCGTCCTACCACTCTGCTCCAAGTGCCAAGTCTCCCAAGCTTCAGGGCTGGTGGACGAGCACCCTGAGATCCCTTTGCCTCCCTCCTATCAGGTTGGATTGTGGATGAGAACTTCCTCACCCCCTCCCTCCAGTCAGGTCCGATTTGGGGAATCTCGTGGATGGGTCGAAGCTCGAAGATGAAAGCTACGAGTTGAAGATCGTAGATCCAGGCAAACTAAAGAACAAAAGCACATGCCTTGGACCAGCAATCAGAAGCAGTTTGTACTTCAACAGCAATCCCTCTCTGTTAGAGGAACCAACACAAAAAGATTCCCATAGAGAAGGAAACTTCCAGAGGCATCAACAAACAAACAGGACACCTCACCTCACCTCTCTCCTGACATTTGTTTCCCCGGTCAAAACCCATTTCTTATCAAATCAGCCCGGCTGATGAAAAATGCGGTCAAAACATGGCATCGACCATCCACGTATCTCTCCAAATGTTGACCGCCGGGGTGCAAAACCAATGACTCCCAAAAAGGATATCCTTGCAAAGAACCTATCGAATAGCACCTCAAAGAACTTCTTTCTTTCTTTCCTCATGGGTCCTTTTCCCTGGCACACTGTTCGGTGGAACTTCTCATTCTTCAACCCAATCTGGGATGGTCAAAGCCCTTAGAACACCCAAGTCTGCACCTGGTAGCTAGTCGTGTCCCCCCAAGTGTCAGACCCCATAAAGTTTCACAGGCAATCATAAGAAAACAACGAATTGAATATATAGTCGACATCGACAGCTGGCGTATCCTCACCAATCCTCGTAGCTGGTGTGTTTCAAAATGAACACAGAGTTCATGAGCCCACACGCTACAGGTCCAACATGGTATGTCCTGGTATCCAAAGCACTGGAGGACTGGCTGCGCTTCAAGCCGCCGCCACCCGTGCCGCCCGTGCGCGAGGGACGTGGGGCATCCGGAGGAGCAGCACCTGGCGCGTTGAAGACTCGATGGATTGGTGCCGAAGGCAGATTTCTGATGGAGAACAGGGTAGGATGAAGTAAGGGGTTTTGACTCCAGTAGACTTCGGAAGTTGATGGTTTCAACACGGGTGTCATTGTCCCTTTCGCGGCAATCTGCTTTAAGTCCAATCCAAGGGAAAGCTATCCCGAGTCCACGGATTCCTTCAAACCGCGCCAAGTCCATTCAAGTCCAGATGAGCAAAGGAATGAACAACATTAAGCAGCTTTGCACCCCCTGAGATGAAAAAGCCTCGACTCACAAGTTGGGAAGCTGTTCTTCCATGTTCGTCCTCCTTCCTCCCTGGACCACTGCAAGGTGTACGTACTCTGATTACTTACTTGCAGTGACTGAGTATAATGACTCCCATGGCCACCCAGGTGGCTTCCAACGTTGGCATTCCCACAACCCGGCCCTTCGTTGGAGACAATGGACTCCAATGGGTGTGCTTTATGGAGCCGATGGTGTAAGCCTTCTGAGCACCTGCCCTGACCAAAGTTTCTTGTGGGTCTTGGAGCTATACTTTCACACTTCGCAGGAAAGGAATTGGGCCTGAATTAGCATAGGTGTCTTCATGCTGGGGGCCCATGAGACCTAGATAGCGCCGGTGAAAGCAAATCGCGGCTGAGTTCCACCGAGCTTTCATACACCCGAGGTGAAAAACGAATCTGTCCAAAGGGCGGAATAAATAAACCAAAACATCTGAGCCACCAGGTTTCACTGGTAATTTGAAGGATGTTCAATATGTCCATGTCTTTTCATCTCCCCGTCCAGCAGGATTGCCTCGCCTGCAAGATCCTCCACTCTCTGCACCTCACATGTGTTGAACACAGGGCAGATCTAGTTGCCAGCTGCCAACTCCTTGTACATCGCCAGTTGCCACAAAGGCTACTTGGGGGATCTTGCAAAAGCTACTCACAAAGGTTGTTTGTTGCTTTGGTGTACTTTGCAATGGTCACAGTCTGTCCACTTCGTAGTAACTATAGCCAGCACTTGTCACAACCCACTCCCATAGAACAAGTCCTCTTGACTTTCGACATCCATACGGACACCCCAAAGAGTTAATGCATGTCCTCTTTTGAGAGCCCTGAAATGCGAGACGACAAACGAGGACAAACAAGGATAACCAGGGATGAAGAATTTGTCAGTCGAGGGAGTTCAGCAAATTAGCCTAGTTGCAAGTTGTGAAAAAGTCGCACCCTAGTCTTCCCTCGCCAATTCACTAACAAATGCTGACACCAAGAGCTTCTCTCAGTCCTTCTTGAAAAAAAGGATGCCTTTCACAAATTCTTGACACGCCTCGGCTTGGAGGATCTTCAAGGGATTGTCTAAATCCGTCAAGGTCTCCGCCGGCCGCAAGGTGGGTTGAGACCTCGGTGACGGTGACCGTTTCGGAGACCTCGGGTAGACTTTTTGCGCATGGCCTGTGAGGCATGTATCGGCCCTAGACTCTTCACACGAAATAGATCGAAGCAACTGGTTCATCTTGGTGAAACGAGTTGCTGCCCCTACTTTTGAAGGACGAAAGACAGGTTCGACCACACCAGTCATCTCATGTCATAGCAGCCCGACCACATCAGAATCGCATGTCCTATCTCTCTGACGATGCAGCCCACCCAGCAGTGCAGCCTAAGGTGCTCCATGGGCTCCTCCTCGTCCAGCAAACTCTGGGCGGCCACCGCCTTGCCGCGGTCCCCATCGCGTTGCTTCCCATTTGGAACCGGTTTTTGCCACACGCCTTCCTGCTCCAGTTGGGGGGAAACATGACGGGGGACGCCTCTTTGGTGGATACACAGTGTTGGCAAAAAAGAGCTATAATGCGAAACGTTCCAAACAATCTGCTGGAGCTGAAGGCAGCTGTGACTAGATGCAGGGGTTTATACTCTAATGTAACTGACAAGATCTTTAAACTTCCTTAGCTCCCTCAAGCACATGAACCACGGTTTACCACCCCGGCGGCGATTTTTGCAGCCGCAGCCGGTGGGAGTTCCGAGTGGAACGCTCTGCTTGGCCTGTGCTTGATCAGGACGGGCTGGGGGTCCATTGGGTGATTGAAGGTGGAAGCAACAGGTCCTCACGCAAAGCACTTGTCGAAGCAAGGGTCTAAAATCGAAAGAAGCGATCGATTCGTGCAACGGAGCCTGCCAGTGACGGCGACCACAACTTCAACATGTGCCTGTTGGCATTCTTTGAACAGGCCAACCCCTATGGATTCGTGAAGCTCCTAGTCCTACTGTTGACAGCAGAAGTTCCTAATACCAGCACGGAGCGGGCATCGGCAGGATCGGGTTTCTACCTTTCGGTGTCGACGACATGGCGGTGTCTGGCTCGTATCTCCCGAAGTCGTGGGTAGGAGTTCTTCATCCAGGGACGAAGGGACGCGAGTTCTGTGAACATATCGGATGATGTCTCAAACATCTGATTCATCAAAGGGACTGCATATCTATGACAACTCAACCGTATATAATCGTCTCATACCGTTTCTAGATTACCCTGAGACAGGCAACCTGACCGGTTACTAGTAATGACACAAGATCTCCACCTCACACATCAGAAAGTTGCATGTTGAGTTGCGTGCCAGAACACTGGCCCAACGTGTACAACATCCTGCTCGGGCACTGGTGGGCATCTTGTAGCCAAGCCGTGCACGCCACACATACTCGCCCTCAGGCTAAGTTGAAACTTGTTACAGTCAAATACAACAATTACACATCATCTCCTATATTAATACTCTTGTGATCGGATTTTAAGATCCATGCCTAGACTCTTTTCGAACAGCCTCAAAACAAGGGTCGCCATTCAGAGAGGAGTTATTATCTTCACTGAATCAAGATGATCATGGAGAAAGTGTCCAGAACCACTACAGCACCTGGTGACGAAGGCAACATGAAGAGTGCTCCCACGCACAATTCATTCCTGCAGAACGAACACTGCTATCCAGCCATGTGCTTCTGGGAGGGCGAGAAGTGCATGCAGCTTTGTTGAAACACGGTTGGAGCTCCAATTCGTTTGGGCACTTCAAAGGCCTGGAAGAGGTCAACATCTGCAAAAACGTGGGTCTTCCCGCGATCTGAACGGCCAAGGCTCTGCCTTTGTTGGCGCAAGGCAGTTGGAAGGGCACAAGTTCTTTTCAATCCGAACCAATGAACAAGGGGCTCCATAGTTCTTCGGCTTTGACATGTAGATAATATCCATCCAAAATCATATGAATTTGATGGAAGACCATTCGTGGGAGCCACAAGTGTGGGACGGAACAGTGGAAACAAGCGTCAAAACTTGTTGAAACCATTCAACCAAAAAGAAAAGGTTCCTTCTCACATGCCAGGTGAAAGTCTACGAGTCTACGATTCCTCAAAGGGAGATGGTGTTGTAAAATCTTTAGAGGAACCACTTCAGCAAATTGCACTGACAAATCCCAAAGCTCTGTCCACACTTGGATTCTGGGCTGGTGATTGCTACTACAAGCTCAGCATGATTTCTCATCTTGCAGTTTCCTTCCGCATTGTCACGTTTGGATTCAGGGTGGAGTTCAGCAAGTAGAGGAGCAGTTAATGAAGGTGGTGTAGGGTCTGAGCAGTTAATGAAGGTGGTGTAGGGTCTGCCTGATCCAAATGGCCACACAATTCCGCTTCACACATCTCTTGAACATCGGCACTATCAATTTTGGAATCAGGGATCGGCTGATTTGCTTGTATTCGCTTTCGTGAATGGCAACATGAGCTCCTAGTATCAGGACAACCACTAATCTTAGGTTCGACCTTTTGCAAAAACCGTTTGTTTGCTTAACTTACTGCCAGCTCTTCATTGCAGGGGTGTCTGCAACCAGCCCTGCTGTAGAAAAGCATGTTTGCTGAGTTTGCGTGCAAAACGCGCCAGCCGCCAAAATTGCACAACATCATGCTCGGGCACTAGTCGACTCTTCGGTCATACTGTGCACGCCACACAGCTCTCCCGCTCCTGGATGCCAAGTATGTCGGGCCAAAAGAATGATCGCATCTGTCAGAAATACCCCAAAAGACTTGAGCAAAGGTCACTGATTTGTAATCAAGTTGAAAAAGTGGGCGAGGAGTGCACGCACGATGTCGCAAGAACCTAACCAGCTTCAATACCGGTCACGAACATCCCGATGAGGATTGGTCCGGTCCTGAATCGATTTCAAGGAGAAAAAACAAAAACCCTTCAGCCCTTCAGCCAGCTACTCCGCCTACACACTCGTACACACAAATGCTGTGCGTCCGCCTACTATCCACATCTGCTTCTGTTAGGTGGTGGAAAACTCACCTGGCTGAAAGTGATGAACATTCACGAACTTGTAGGGAAGCCATGAAGGAACCCAGCCAAGCTCAACGCACCACACTGAAGGCCCTCGCAACGAGATGTCAACTTGATTGGTACATACTATAGCTGTTAAAAGGCTTTGCATAGCTTTATACTGTCCAGACTGGGTGGACAAGCGGACCACTTGGGAATTTCCCCCCCAACTGCTTCTCCACCCTGCTGCTCCAGGCCGAGGTGCAATCCATATATTCATTTCGAGTCAGGACGCTCGCGGCGTCTGAGGCCTGCGCACGGCGGTTCATCCCACCCCGCCGGGTCTGCTGCCGCTTGTGGCCATGGCTGGCGATGGCCGGAGGTGGATGGAAGGCGTCCACCGGCAGGTCGTGGTCAAAGGTAATCGTCACACATGGATCCTCGGTGCATGACATCGAAAGCGTTCTGGCCCCAAACAAACGCGTCTCCTATGGAAGGTGCGAAGATTTGCGTTGTTTGTCTTGTTTTCCGCTATCAAAGGGTTTCCAGTTTAGGGGATGTTGTCAACAACTATTGGGCGTGGACAAACCCGCTACCCTTGCGGCATGCTGTGTGCGCATAAACTGCCTTCCGACGACCAAGGGGCTGGAGTTGGATCTGGTTCTACCCGGTTCAGCCTTGCCGGTTCGCCATTGACAAGGATCATGTCACCGACGTTCAGCTTGTATGCCGGAACCTATAGCAGCAAGACTGGGGTCTCTGTGGGGTTTCAGGTAGTCATCGTATTATCCTATCATGAATCTCACGGAATTCTACTCAGAAGGTTCTGGTCCTCGCGGTCCTGGTCAACAACAACAAATTTTTGAGATGATATCCCACTGCAGGGCTTACCAGTCAAGGAAAATCCCTGCGGCGGTCACCTCCAAACACCAGCCTTTCTTGAAGCGGCGTTACCCCCCCCACTACACAAGGGTTCACTTTGCCTTATTCTAAGTTATTGCTGTATGGTCCACTCAGCTCCTCTCACCATCTCCCATCTCAGCTTCCCATTGGCCACGCAACGGGATCACCAGTGGCCAATGCCACACGATGGTCAGGGGTTACCCTGAGGGTTGCATCGCTAGCAAACAGGATAGTCCCCACAGCATCGTAGGGCTTCGAGCAACGTGACACCTGGACGGTGCAGGAATGCGCTTCAACTTCTGCATGACTAGTGTTACCATGTTTTACATCAATTCTGCATATCAGGTGCTGCGTGGCACGCTTCAGCTTGTAGTTTTGCTCACAGTCCTCTCACTAAAATATATAGTTGACCAAAGTTGCTTGATAAGTGCCACAAGCGGGCTTACACTGCCTTCCCAGAATGGGGTGATCAATATTTCTATATATGTCTATACTGTATACCCATTATACGTGAAGCAACGCATCGAAGGAAAGCAAAAAAATAACCAAAATTAAAACGCTGGACCAACACCTTCTTGCCCCTTTGTATGTCCAATCATTGGCACCCAACAAATGATGGCTCAGGTGGGGTATTGCAAAACTCAGCTAGGAGACTTCTTTGCATGCCAGGAATATGCACCAATTCACAAGTGATGGATGTGTATGTGTGTGTGCATATCTATATATACTGTATATATATATATATATAGTCTGGCGTTGGGAGAGATGATAACTGTTTTCATTGGTGACCAGATTGCTTTGAATGAGTTAATTCAGTCGCTCAATCTTCACTGCCTGCAAGATAGAGCCATCAGTGGCACGGATTCGAGTGCCCGTGCGCCTCAAGTGAACAGGCTTGGCCAGAATGGGCGATCCTAACAAAGGAGGGCCGGACCATTCTAGCTGGTCATGGCCCCCCTTTGCAAACTTTCATGCTGGGCCCCGACTTTTTTACTAGAAGCACGGACATATTCCGTATATCCTATATGCTTGGTCATAATCCGCTTTTGATTCCCAGGTTCTTCCCCCAACAGCTTCAGGATTCGGTCCAAACATGCTAGTCGGCTTTATAGGAAATCGATCAGTGGTCAGTCTTGAACAATTTAAGCAAGATAATAACACGCAGACGCCAAGCTACACATGCTGTCCGCTCACGAAGCCACCGTCCGGAGTCTTGAAGATCGTGTCCAGGGCAAAGCAGTCCGCCAGATTCTTCACTTTTTCCCAGGATTCGTCGGAGCCATCATCGCTGGCTTCATCCTCGGCCTCCTTGAGCTGAAAAGTGTCTCCCTTCCAAACTCACATGAGAGGCTGACACTGGTACTTTGTCCCAATGGCAGAAGGTGATTGAAGCATTCGGCAAAAGTACTATTGCAATGTTGGTTGTAGTGAACATGGGAACATACTCGCACATGCTATGTTCAGACTCGTGAACATTAAACTCAAAGAACCCTTTATCTGAAATGGTGAGGCTTCATGCCAGGTACCATATGAACGACGTGCAAAACCTCTTATGGTGCGCACTCTTCCCAACGTTATCATCTTTTCTGTGAACCTTATCGTTCCTGAGGGTTTGGACACACATAGCATGTACTAAAACCTTATCGTTCCTGGAGGTTTCTTTACTTTACTTACTTAGCCTTCACTGTAGTGATGCTGCCTTCATCGAAGGTTTTGGCAGTTGCTCATATCACAATGCTCCTTCACGGTAGGCTCCTCCAGCAATTCTCCCATCACACCACCCGATCCACTGAAAAACACCTGCCGCGGTCCTTGAGCTCATTCTCCGTCTCTTCCGTAGGCTCTTCCAGCTCAGTCGGCTCTGGTCCACCTGGTGGCTCCTGTAGCTGCTCCCTCTCCACCGACTCCTCGCCCTCCAGCTCCATCAGCTCCATAGGACTCAAGCCACCTGCGCCACTCAGGGATGGAGCCTCCTTTTGTATCTACCAGTGTTTCTTATAGTCATAGTTATATCATCCCCATACGCATGCCAGTTTCCCTTTTAACTAGCCCAATCTTGGCCTGAGCCACCTCGTGATGCCGGACGGATGCCTTCAGCTGCTTGGATCAACTGTCTTCGAGCTTTCTCCACGTCTTCTCGCGCCTGTCTTTGAGCTTGTTTGACCTCTTCGGCTGCTTGCAGCTTTGCTTTCTCTGATTCTTCGGAAGCATGCTTCTGAGCTGTGGCGAGCTCTTCTGCTGCCTGCCTTCGGGCCATCTGAACCTCCTCTATGGCCTGCTTCTTGACTGCCTCCATCTCCTCTGCCGCTTGCTTCAGGGCCTTTTGGACCTCTTCCCTGGCCTGCTCTTTGACATGCGCAATTTCCACCGCAGCATCTTTCTGACATCTCTCCAGCCCCTCAGCCGCAATAAATGACCAAATGTCCCAATTGAGATTCTCTACATACTGTGTTTTGTCTCTAACATGCTCACCCCTCTCAGAGACCTACGTCTTTTACGCAAGAAGCCTGACAAACCCGACTGCTTAGATCTTGAAACTCTCCGGCTCTTGACTCTTTAGCGGGCTCGCCTCAGCATGTCTTCCGGCAACCAAGGACTCTTTCAGCGAACGCACCTCCTTGGATTTGATCCAAGGGATCTGCAGTGCGTCCAACGCCTAGTGTTCCAATGGCCTTTACGGGATGCTGGGTTTCTTCTGCAGATATCCATGAAGGAGAAGCTCAAGAGTGCTCAAGGGTGTCAATCAAACAGCGCACTCAACTTTGCAAAAAAACATAAGGCCGCAAGAAGCTCACCTCTGCATGGTTTGCGTGGGTGATTGTCATGGCTACCACGAACCCAAAACCCTCATGTCATGGTACTGATGGACAAGATCTGCACCGCTGTGCATGCACTACCACTCGTGGTTCCATGCATAACAATTTCAAGAGAGCCACTATGAGCCACTCCACATCATTCCCCGGGGTGCAGCAGGAGTAGCATTTCCCTACCAAAGTATCCAAATTATGCAACCCGAGGCTCGGCTAGAAGGTCCTGTACATCTTTGCGATCCAAAGTTTCCGTCTCCAACCTGGAGGCAACGGCCTCTGCAGCACGTCGTTCCAGTGAAAGAAAGAGTCGGAGATGCTTATCAAACCCATCTGACGATGTGGAACAAGCTGGAAAGAACCAATCAAGCCATGTGCACTCCACTTGAAGGCCCGAGGCTCGCCCGTGCAACACTTTTATGGCAACCCGCGAAATGTCACAAGCACGCCGCAAAGTTGATGTGCCTACTTCTCCCCAGGGATCATCTACTCCCCCACGGCGAAAAGGGTCGGATAATATGCGATGTCTGAGTAGCCACCTAAGAGCAAACAGTGCCCCACCGGGAATTGATTCCAGAAACGACTTGAAGGCGGCGACCCGCCCTTGGAGCTTCTTGTCAAGGTCATCAAGCTCATCAGAGAACAATTCAAATGTTGCTTTTCGTGATCCGTGTGATTGCACTGCTGCTTGTGCTGCAGATGTCAGTTCATGGCTGTAGAAGCGAATTCCTTGAATGGCGATACCGTAACCCCCACGATAAAATGCGGTTGTGCCAATGTTCTTGTCATAGTTCTTCACCCAATGCCTGATCTTCTTGATCAACTCCATCGCCCCTGCGGTCTCCTCTAACCATACATTCACGTCGGATTCATCAGGTGGGAGTCCCTTCTCCTGCAAAAGCCACAAGTCCAGCTTTCGCAAATGCCCAAACAACTCTTGGGCAGCTTTCCTCGGCGCGAGCGGACTGGACATCGGTACCCTCTGTGTCAAGTCTCATCATCGCTACAACACTCTGTTAAAGCAAACATGAACATGGCATGCTTCGTTCTAACCGAGCCTGACCCTGCTAAATGAGACCTTCTTAGGAATAACGGGTTTTAACAAGGTTGCATCAGCCTCTTTCTGGTGTACAACCATCAACTTAAGTTTGTTGTGCTGGACTCTTGCACAAAGAATCTCCAACCTGGAGGCAACGGCCTCTGCAGCACGTCGTTCCAGTGAAAGAAAGAGTCGGACATGCTTATCAAACCCATCTGACGATGTGGAACAAGCTGGAAAGAACCCATCAAGCCATGTGCACTCTACTTGAAGGCCCGAGGCTCGCCCGTGCAACACTTTTATGGCAACCCGCGAAATGTCACAAGCACGCCGCAAAGTTGATGTGATTGCTTTGGCGCAGGTATGCTCAAGTTGGTTTAGCACTTTCCTGCAGGACAGGTCTAAACCTGACAAACCTGGTACTACATCATCCCGTAGCCAACAAAGAGCTGGAAGTGCTTCGACTGGAAATGCATGGTGAAATGATTGGAGGGATGATTGGAAAGTCTTTGGCTATCCCGTGGAGTTCCTTGCCAAGGCGTTTGAGCGCATCAAGGACAGGAATCTGAAGCTTGTGAACGCGTGTTACTGCAGATATCAAATCTGGGCTGCGGAAATCAATGGTGCTTCTCCATGCGGGCCTTTGAGAACCATTTGCGGGCTCGATTCATGCCATTCGATGCGAAAATGTCTGTGACATGTGTTGAACCCATGCAAGATCAACTCTATCAACTCAATGGCCTTCGTACAATCTCCTTCGTCTTCTCTAATCTCTAACCTCGCCTTGCTCCCATCACGCCATTCGATGTTGAATAGCTTCGGTCTGTTATTCTGCAAAAACCATCCGTCCAGCAGGTACAGAGGGCGAAGCAACTTGTTAGTACAGTAGCTATCTTGGGCGTGGAGGAACCGTGGCTCCAGGAACCGTGGCTCCAACACTCTGTTTCTTCACAAATTTCCTTCTAACCAAATCGACCCTGCTAAATGAGACCTTCTTTCCTTGATGGATTTATCGGAACAAAGGAGTTGAAGATTTCACATCAACCCCCTCGTGGTGTATGTTTGTGACAAACCCTTAAGGCATCTTAAGGCTGAAGTTTGTCTTGCTAGATGCACAGTGTTATTAGAGAGAATCTCCAGACATGTTAATGTTGCCATTGATGCATGGTCAGGTGACAATAGGTGCGCAGTTCTTCAATACAATATAATCCGAATGTCGCGACCCGGCCCAACGTGACACCCTCTTGAGCAAATGCTGGGAGCTACACGTCGACTGTCTTAAAGTACACACTTGGTCCGAATGGATGCAATCATCTAATTATTTTCTAATACCACTGGTTCCCAAAATCATGATGACACACCGATCCAATCTCCAATCGGTTGCCAAGCAACTCTGGCTCCTTTGGATCCATTGTATCCATGAACCTTCACCGGTGGCGGCAGTGATGCGATGCGAACCCCTTCTGAGCCGAACTGCCACAGAGCGGTCGAAGGGCACTGCCGGCAAGCAGCGGTGATACCAAAAACCTTCCCAGAGTGCCGTGCATTGCAAGAATAAGTAAGAGCGGATTTTGCCATTGTTGATGTTGAGACCATGTGACACAGGCCAGCTCTAGGGAGAGTCATGCAGGGAGAGGAATGCAAACAAGTCAACTGAGTAAACCATCTCGTGACCAAAAGCCATAGCATAGTGGGGACGAAAACAAGTGAGGAATGCAGGAAGGCAAGTGAACTGAGCAAGCGCTCTTGCAACAACCAAATGGCCTACTTCCCTCAACCCCATCCGTTCCCGTCGCCCGGGCCTCCTTGCCACTCTTGGTGCGCCGCAGCCAGTGCTGTGGCGAGCCAAAGGCCCCACTGCCCGAGCGCGAGAGCCGCAGATGATGCCTAGGCGGAATTAGTCCCGAAAGAAGGATCATCACCCAAGATCTGTCGTTCATCGGCGTCCATATGAGTGTGTATAAACATTGATAGGAAGACCCCAACCAATGGGCTTGGGATGGTGTTCTTCCCGGGCGTTGAACTTGGAGGTCTCCCTATTTTACTACACACCCATATTGATCGTCCACACAGGTCGACTGCATGGCGAGAAGCTGAAGATTCTTGGTTGGAGCATGGCACTCGGTGTGGTAGGTGTGTACGACCCGCTGCGATTCTGCAAAAGAAGTGGTCGATCAATGGAAAAGAACCTTCATGCCTTGTCAGTTTTGTTGAAATTGTTGCAGTGCGCACACGGTTATGTGTTATGAGTCAATCAACCATGGAAATAGACTAGTGTATAGATCTGTATAGTGACTACCCCAGCTCCTGTGGCTACGTCAACCTGTGAAGCATTGGATGAGATTGTATATCCCTTGCACCATCTGATGAGTGCATGCAGATCTTTCTAGGTACAGTTTCCTGCTGTGGGGTGCAAGGATTCTTGACATCCAAGCAGTTTCGCTCCTCATGTTTAATCTGTTTTGCCCCATTGACTTGTCCAATCACAAGTGCAGGCTGCGAACATGAAAACCCCCTTCCAGATTGAATACCTCGCCGCCTTGACAACATGCCAAGAAAAATGACTACCCAAAAGGCATTCCAAAACAAAGGATGTTCGGCTC